TGCTTCCCAGTGCACCCAGTGCCTCCCAGTGCACCCCAGGCCAAGCCCCCAGAGCCCACACACTTCCCCATCCCCCTCGGGACCGGCACGAGGTCCCATCTCCATCCCAGCCAGACTCTGTCCCCGCTCCCTGGCATCACCCATCTCTTTCCACCCTCTCATGTGGGACGGGTGCCCAGAGCTGGCACTGCTGCAAGAGAGCTCCGTCCCCTACCGGCGTCCCCGTCCCCATCCCCGCAGGGGACAGCGGCCATGGCTTCTGTCTCGCCTGGGATTAGTGGGTTAAGCCTGGCTGTGGCATCAACAGGAGCCGAGCCCTGGTCCCCTGGGGTGCCCCTGGGGACACATAGGGTGTCTATCAGCAGCCAGGATGTCTTGCGGGATGCTCATGGGTGGGGGAAATGCCGAGGGACCGCCTCCATCCCCGGGTGGCCCCATCACTGCGCGTGTCCCTGCAGTCTTGGTGATGCACATCGAGGGGGTGCGTGAGGGACACCAGTCGGAAGGTCTACGCAAGTACGGCGCTGCCTTCCCCGAGAGGCACTGCTTCACCCTCGTCTTCAAGGGCAAGCGCAAGAACCTCGACCTGGCTGCCCGGGGTGAGGAGGATGCCCGCCACTGGGTGCAAGGGCTCACCAAGCTGATGGGGCGGCTGCAAGCCATGAGTCAACCAGAGAAACTCGACCAATATCCTTTGCCGGAGCTATGGGGGCTTGGGGACAGGTTGGGGATGGCTGTGGGGGTGACGCCAGGTGGTTTCCTTACCCTGGCATAGCTGGATCCACGGGGTCCTGCAGAGAGCAGACAGGAACAAGGACAACAAGATGTCCTTCCGGGAGGTGAAGAGCATGCTGAGGATGATCAACATCGACATGGATGATGTCTACGCCTACAAGCTCTTCAAGGTACCCATCTTGCGCTCCATCACCCGCTGTCCCCCGCTGCTGTCACCGGAAGGGAATGCTGGCTCCTCTGCCTTCTCTCCTTCTCTCAAGCGCAGGGAACTGTCAAACTTGTCACATCCAAAGCCACCCACCATCACCAATAGTTGGGTCCATCACTGATGGTTGGGTCCCGTCATGAGCAGGAGCTCATGATAGGGTGGGGTGAGCTGTCCCCTCCACTGCTCTGTGGGTTCCCAAGGTGTGGCATTTTCCCCCATGGGGTGCTGTCCCCATAGGCATCTCCCAAGGTCCCTTTCCACCTGAGGAAACTGAGGCATGGCTCTGCTCTGCTCCATCCCAGACTGGAGGGTCAGAGGGCTATGGGTGGGGGGACAGAGGGGCCATGCCCCTGCACCCCCTTAGGCACAACCCATCCCCGAGCCCTCATGCCAGTAGCTGAGCCCCCTCAAACTCATCACCCATGCTGCCAACCCCAAGGGATAGGCAGGACGAGGCAGGGGACAGTCCCCAAGGTTGGGCTGCGGTCCCATCAGGAGTGCGACCACTCAGGCAACGAGCGGCTGGAGGGCCGGGAGCTGGAGGAGTTTTGCCGACGGCTGCTGCAGCGGCCGGAGCTGGAGGAGCTTTTTGGGCGTTACTCGGGTGAGGACCATGTCCTGTCGGCCGAGGAACTGCGGGATTTCCTACGGGATCAGGGCGAGGACGCCAGCCTGCGCCAGGCCCGCGCCATCATCCGCACCTATGAGCTCAACGAGAAGGGTAGGGCTGAGGACGGCCAGCTCGGGTGGTGGTGGGATGGTGGGATGGGCACTGCCAGAGCCAAGGGAGGTCATGGATGGCGTGGGGATGGGGTTCTGCTTGGTGGTGTCACCCCCCAAGCTGGTATGGGGTCCTCCAAGGCTTGGGTGAGTGTCCCCATGTCCCTTCCCTGGGGTGGCACCGGGTGTCAGCAGTCCAACGCATGGCCTTGCTGGTCCCTGGTGGATGTGGGACTGTGGGGACAGGGGATGTGAAGGTGGGGATGGACAGCAGGTGGACCTCCATGTCTCCTGGGTGATGCAGTGCCAGCCCTAGCATGAATGTGATGCTGCCGGTGGACCTCCATGTGCCTGGGGTCCCACCATGGCAGGTCCAGGGTGAACATGGTACCTGGAGAACAGGGGACATCATGGCAGGGATGAAGGACGTCCATGTCTCTTGGGTATCACAGCAGTACCCCTAGGGTAGATGTGGCACTAGCAGGGGACATCAGGGTGGAGGTGGGACCTCCACCAAGGGGACCTCCACATCCCCTGGGTGCCACAGTGCCAGGTCTGGGGTGAACCTGGCACTGTGAAGACAGAAGGTGTCAGGGTGGGGACAGGGAACCTCCACATCTCATGGGTGCCACCATGCCAGGTCCAGGGTGAATGTGGCACTAGCAGGATGAGTGACATCAGGATGGAGATGGGACACTCAAGGGAACTTACACGTCCCCTGGGTGCTGCAATGCCAGGTCTGGGGTGAACATGGCACTGCTGGGAGACAGGGGACATCCAGGTAGGGACAGTCCTCGGGGTGCCACCCTGCCAGCGCTGTGCCAGCCCTCTGTGACGCCCTGCCACCGTGTCCCACAGCCAGGCAGCAGGACCTGATGATGCTGGACGGCTTCATGATGTACCTCCTCTCGGCCGCCGGTGACATCCTCAACCAGGAGCACACCAAGGTGCACCAGGACATGAACCAGCCCCTGTGCCACTACTTCATCTCCTCCTCCCACAACACCTACCTGACCCACAACCAGATCGGTGGCACCAGCAGCACTGAAGCCTATGTCAGGTGGGTGTCCCTGGTCAGATGCTCCATGCCCAGGTGATCCCATGGTTTGAGGGTGCTGGGGCAGCGCAGGGACACATCCGGTGATGGTGCGGTGGCAGGGTGCTGATGGCAGGATGCCGTTGCGTGGAGCTGGACTGCTGGGAGGGCTCCGATGGGGAACCCATTGTCTACCATGGCCACACGCTCACCTCCAAAATCCTCTTCCGCGATGTCATTGAGAGCATCCGTGACTATGCCTTCAAGGTGAGCCGGGTGCCAGCAGCCCTGAGACGGGTGCTGGGTGCTGGGTGCCGGGTGCTGAGCGCTGCCTGTCCCTGTCCCCAGCAATCGCCGTACCCCGTCATCCTGTCCCTGGAGAACCACTGTGGGCTGGAGCAGCAGGCCACCATGGCCCGGCACATGAAGGCCATCCTGGGGGACATGCTGCTGACGCAGCCACTGGAGGGGCAGGACCCCCATGACCTCCCATCCCCAGAGGTAAGGCCACCCGCCCGCCCACCACGGTGTCCCCATGTCCCCTCCAAGCCCTGAGCTCGGCTCTTCCTCCGCAGCAGCTCAAGGGGAAGGTGCTGGTGAAGGGCAAGAAGCTGCCAGAGCTGTGGCACGAGCCCCGGGGTGTCACCTCCCTTCCAGACCCTGAGGAGGAGGAAGAGGAGGAGGAGGAAGAGGAGGAGGATGAGAAGCTGCAGGAAAGAAGCAGCCGGCGGGTAAGGGGCTCTCCCACAGCTATGGTGCTGGGGGACCACAGCATCCCAGTGGTGCTGGGGGACCACGGCATCCCAGTGGTGCTGGGGGACCACGGCATCCCGGCAGTGCCACGGGACCGCTGTGTCCCAGCAGTGCTGGGGCCTGGGGCAGGTCAGCACTGCCAGCACCCCCCGATGCAGCCCTGCTCTCTCCTCTTCCAGTCGCTGCAGTCGCTGCAGGAGATCAAACCTCTGCAGGTGGGTCGTGTGATGGGGCTGGGTGGGCTGATGGGTCGGGTACCGTGGGGGCAGCGAGCAGCTGTCGCTGCCCAGCAGAGGGGACTGAGCTTGGGGACTCCTCAGCTGTGCCCCCCTCTTCCCCTGTTGGGCTGGGTGCTCCATTTCTGGGGTCTCCATCACCTTGGAGTCTCCATTTCCTTGGGAACTCCATGACCTTGGGTCTCCAACACTTTGGGGTCTCCATCACCTCCAGGGTGACCCCTCGGGGTCTCCATTGCCTCAGTTCTCCATCACTTGAGGGTCTCCATCACCTTGAGTTCTCTATCACCTCAAGTTCTCCATCATCTTGGGTTGTCCATCCTGTCAGGGTCTCTATCATCTTGGGGTCTCTAACATCTTGGGCTGTCCATCATGTCAGGGTCTCCATCACCTTGGGGTCTCTAACATCTTGGGTTGTCCATCACCTTGGGTTCTCCATGACCTCAGGGTCTCAACCTGCTTGGGCTCTCCATCATCTCGGGGTTCATCACTCCATTGCCTCAGGTTCTGCATAACTTTGGGGTCTCCATGGCCTTGGGGGTCTCAGTGCTCGGCACTAGCAGGGAAGGGGGGGCTGTAGACCCTCAGGCAGGTGGGTGGCCACCAGAGCCAGGGTGGCCCTGACACGATGGTGACTCCTGCAGGCCAAGGATGCGTTGCAGGTGGCCCCAGAGCTGTCGGCCGTGGTGGTGTACTGCCAGGCTGTCCCGTTCCCTGGCCTGGCCCATGCCCTGCGCCACCCCCGGCCCTGCGAGATGTCCTCCTTCAGTGAGAGGAAGGCTCGGAAGCTCATCAAGGAGGCAGGTGAGGGTGACGGGATGGGGACAGAGTGGCTCCGTGCTCCTGACCTCACTGGGAGCTCCATGGGTGGTGGTCAGGGGTGCGCTGGCCTTGGCTGGGCTGCTCTGGTCTGGTGGACTGGGGTTTGGTGTCAGGGTCTGGGGCCAGAGGCCAGGGTGAGGGTCACAGGTCCAGGATCAGGGTCTGGGGCCAAGGCTTGGGATGTGGCATCTGGGTCCAGGGTCAAGGTCTGGGGTCAGGGTCTGGGGTCCAGGGTCAAGTTCTGGGATCAGGGTCAGGGTCTGGGGTCCAGGGCTGGGATTAAGATCTGGGTCAGGGTCCAGGGTCTGGGGCTGGGTTTGGAGTCTGAGGTCCAGGATCAGGATCTGGGGTCAGGGTCTGGGATCCAGGGTCAAGGTCCGGAGTCTAAAGTCAAGGTGTGGGGTCAAGGTCAGGATCCAGGGTCAGGGTCTGGGGTTCAGGGCTCGGATTAAGATCTGAGTCAGCATCCAGGGTCTGAGGTCTGGGGTCAGGGGTCCAAGGTCATGGTCCAGGGTCAAGGGCCAGGGCTGGGGTCTGAACCCCAGGGTCCGGTTTCAGGATTTGGGTCACGTTTCAGGCTCTGGGTCCACGCAGCCGGGCAGGCTCTGTCCATGTCCCCAGGCACACGGGTGCAGGCAGGACACTGTCACCCACTGGCAGGGCCCCGCACCGGCACCCATGGGTGCA